TATTTTCTGGTTTTTATCAAAATTTTTCTATCAATCCTAGACCGCATAAAAAATAACTAACCAATTTATCCATGAGTAGTACTTGAAGGAAACCAGTCCCATCTCGAAGGATGAAAAACATCAGTGACTTTCCTAAATACACAAAAACGAACATATTATGAATGTATATGTAATCTTTACAAAAAAAAAAAAAAAAAAAAGAAATATCTCAAACAATAATCTATTTCACTGAACAACCAGTTGTGATAATCAACGAATAATAATTGTAAAATACCTTGTCGACGCATTCTATGAATCCATCCTTTGATGCAAACACGTTCATTACGGTGCTTAACTAGATCACGAATCTTCACACCAGTGATATATGACAGACTCGTGTCCAGTTCTATTTGCACTTTTTTGGCTTCTTCAAGGGCTGCTTTTACTCCCACTTCTGTCGCATCCTTCTCTAACATCTAAAAAATACGAACAACTTATTCAACGCTACTCATTAAATATTTGTTATACGAAGCTATTTTTTAATTCATTTTTCGCTAATAAATTAAAGTAACACCTCGCCTCACCATCTTTTCTAACAAGTAAACTACTCAATTCATATTTTCAAAAAAAAAAAAAAAAACAAATCTCACCTTTGCAGCAACTTTTTCATTCTTCAACATTTCTTGCTCGTAATGTTTCCAACTTTTCTTCAATGCCGTCTTTGAAGCAGCTTCCCATATTTGTTTTCCATCTTTCTTTGTCCTTATTAAGAAGTCACCTTTGGAAGACTTAGTAATTATCATTGCCTGATAAAGCGTCCTGCAGTCAATTATCGAAATTTAATTTAACGCAAAAAACTCCAGAAGTTTATACCAATTTATCATAGTCTTCTTAATCTTGCTTCTTCGAAACTTTTCATCTATGAATAACTAGACAAAAGTACCAAAATTACCTTAAAGGTTTCAGCTCGCTACCATCATTACCATCATCTCCAGTTTCTGGACAAATGTAAACAGTCATTACAACAACCTTCTTCAATTAATTACCTTAAAAAATAGCATATTTAAATAACTAATCATTCAAAAGCAATAAAAACAAATGTTTACAGTGTTACGCAATAATTCGAGAAGAAGTGCACATTTCAATGAACTGTCTTAATCATTACAAATCATTTATCAACAGTTCCTCCTTTCTAACAGCTCAGACCGACTTAATTTCTAGCTACCAAAACGTCACATGTAGGTCACATGTAGGTCACATGTACATATCTTCCCTACACAGACCAACCAACATTTGATGTCACTTTTATTGCGGAAAACCACGTTGCATGCTACGCAAATTGCAATCTCTTCAGTACAGGTTGTAACAGTAGTATTGAGTTAGAACAAAATGGTATCAGTTGAATTGTACCAAGAACATACCCTGTAATTAATAATTCATATAAATAATTAATATTATTGATAATATTTCTCTCCACAATAAAGTAATAAGGAGAAAGTCATTCTAGCAAAGTTCGTTATTATTTACTATATCTTTATGAAAAGGATCGGGTAGTGGACATGGATTGTTGTTGTAAAACTTGGCGAGGGCGGTTTTGTATCAGTTTATAAGGTTTATGAAAATTCATCGACATTCTTTCTTGTAATTATTTACTTCACAATCCCTCAAATTACAGCAATTTTACTTTGCAGGAATCAAGGGGAAACGAAATTTATGAAAGCATTAAAAACAGAAAGCTTAAAGGAGAAAGTTAAAGTAAGCTTGTTAGCTTTAAAGAAAGATAAATTTCTGCTAATGTTTACTGTTAACTGTTATTTTTAACTGTTTAACTGTTATTTTTAACTGAACGGAACTGTAGTTTTCTACATTTCTAAGCTTTCAGCACACCATCATATTCAGATTATGTTTGCAAATAGTGGAATTATTCACAATGCACATTATTTTTGATAGGATAATATACTTTGACTTCTCTCTCTTTCTCTCTCTCTTGCTTGTTAACATAAATGATTATAGCTAAAAATGGAAATTTAAGTGCTTAAATTAGCGAATGAACGAAAAAGGACGCATTTCTGTACATATGAAGATAAAGACATCTATAAAAAATGCTTATATTTGGTGGTGACACTACTTGGACCTTGTTTGCAGGTATGTTTATAAAACTACAAGAGATAGCTTTCTGGTTTCCGAGGTATCGGAGATAACAGATATTGATAAAACTTGACTGCAATCTTTCACTTGCAATCATTTCAAAACTATATCTCTGATTTATAAGTGAATATACTGGCAACTATTATCAAAAAACCTAAAAAGTATTACACACCAAGAATAATGCTAATGATTCATCCTATAAACCAAATTCGTTATTCCTTTGTTATATCCCATTTTTTTGAAACAATGAATGCTTTATCTAAACCTCAAATAGTAAATGTACATCTGTCTTCTTTGTTCTTCATTGTAAATGTTAGCCAAACCCACTTCCTACACCCTTAAAAATCTTCTCTAATCAGTTAATAACAAAGAAACGATCGATGGCAGTCTTCTCGTCCTCCTACTCAACAGTACCATTTATTCTGTCATTCTTTCAATTATTCAACTGTATGTTATATCGATTCACATTTATAAAGAAAATAAACGATATCTGGGTTGATCTTGCTCGTAGACAAGAATTCAGTTCAAGTTCTACAAACCTAAAGTAAGTCAAGTGAACATAACTAGATCATCTACTCTTCTGACCAAAAAGTTACTTCACTTTGTTCCCATCTTATGTTTAGGCTGTAAATCTTTCATATATTGTTGACACGGTATCAGCTCCTCATTTAGTTGACACCATTGTTATGTAAATTATGTTGGAATCTACGAGGTTAACAACTTTTGTTTTAAGGGCTTATCAGCTAGTGATTAGATTTGCTTCTAAACCAGGTGGTCAACAGCTCTTTTTCAAACCTATTATTTTTTCGGCAGTTCAACTTATTGTAGATCATATACTTTGTTTGCATATATTGCTTGCTATATAAGGAGAGGTCATTGAGTGGAGCAAAGGATTTCATCGGAAATCAGGAGAATTCAACCGAAGAGACAATTCGATCCCACAAAAAGGGACTTCCACTACTTTTGCTTCAATTTTTCTCAACCAATAATTTATTGCAATACTGCTTCTGTTGATAAAGGAATTATTATATTCCTATTACCCCATATATAACCTCTCTCAAATATAAATTTTTTTAAATCTTCTACGCAAGCATTATAAGTTATTGGCTTCTTCATGGCGACAAATTTCATGAAGGCAGCACTGTTGATGTTGAGTCGTGATAAGTTACGTGGACAGTTAGAGTAGAGCCCATGAGTTTTTTTTTTTTTTTCTATTCGATCAGAAAATGTCTATTGCTGCGATTAGTCAACCAGGTGGAAAGTGGAGGTATGCTTTGATTAGGTCACCTTTTCTAGATCTCTCTCCGTTTCAATTGAGAAATCCGTTCTCAATATTCATTTGCAACAAAGAATGTGTTGAATTGCTCTACATTGATTATGTGTTGAAAATTGCTCTTAATTTTTAATGGAAAATTTTTTCTAATTAAGGAAAAAAATGTACGAACTACATACATTATCAAAATTATTAATTATTGGTAAAGTCTTCTCGACTTGATAGCCAAATACAGATTTGATTGTTGACAGGTAAGTTGTCTACTCTTTATTTCATCCTTTGCTTTGAGAATTGTAAAGGTCTTCCAGTGTGGCATTTACTTTTATAAATAATTGATGTAGCATTAAAATCTAACTTTAACTGTAAAAAGAGTAAAGGTCATCCATTAGGGTACAACTCTTTATTTACGGGTAATCACGCGCTTAAAAGAGGTGGGAAATTGGTTCGCGATCACTGCTCCCTCGAATCTACTTCCTCAATTTTTCTAGTACTGTTCAATAACTTCGATTAATGATAATTTTTATCTCAACCAACTGAAAATCACTCTTAACCATAGGCTAAAAATCCTGCAAAATTTTGCCATATTTCACAACTTAATCATTCAGGACAGATTGTTATGGATTAAGACTGTCACCGAGGAGCTTTCGAACGAGCAAAGCCCTTTACCGCATGCATTTTTGAAAAGAAAAGGGAAAATTTTTTCCAGTGTAAATTATATGCTAAAAGTTTAACCATTTATTGATTGAACATGTTTAAACAGGACAAAGGAATGGCGAAAGCGTTTGCTTTAGCAGAAGAGAAAATTTGTTTAAATATTAAAATTTAAAAGGAAATAGTTTAGAGATATTGTTGAAAAAGTTTGAATTAATAATAATATATGCATATGTGAAAGTGCAGCATAATGCGTTTGTTGAAATTGCAAATTATTGGTTACAATTTTTTTTGTTGTTGTTGCAGATTCCAGTTCTATCCAATAAATAAAGTTTAGAATTTTTTTTAATCCTGAATTGTGAATGGTTTCATTCTTTTTTCATCAATCATTATGATTATTTTTGATTTCTTTCAAATATTCTAAATGTATCGAAAATATGTGCAATGTCGAAAATAGGAAAAAAGCATGGAAATTCGTTTTTTTTACGTCTGCGATAGCTCTTTTTACGTTTGATGTCTTCACGTTAAGATTTTTTAACTCGAAATATTTGAGAAATTTATTTTGTAGGCATCCATATATATAAAGTCGTATGACAAAGATATGTGACCAACTGTGAAAAAAAAAGTGAAGTAAAATTGTGTTATTCAGAACCTTTTTATTAGCTCCACTACAGAATTTGAATTTTTAATATTTATCGAGAAATATTTTTTTGACATTTCATTAACAACTCCTATAAACTAGCTTCAATAATTATTTTTTCTCTGCTAATTTAATTTTTCTTTCATTTTATTCCAATAAGTTATGATTAATCTGATGAATGTTTTTATTGTGTAATCGCACCACTGAATGCATTAATTTGTTATATTTGTTACAGTCAAATTCGGATATTTCGATATTTCATAATAATTCAAATAATAATAAAATGAATAGTCGAATTGTTCTTTTTTTTCACATTGCAGCAAGTGATTCAAGATATAAATTACAATTTTCTTTTGGATTTATCGAAATACGCATATATCCTTTTTCGCCCCAATCGGTGCCCCAACTGAAAATTAATTATTATCAATTTATTCATTAGTTTAATTTTTTCATTGATTTAAAAAAAAAAAAAAAGATTGTAGTATATTTTAAAAATGAACTATCCAACATATATAACGCAATTAGCTTTCCTTTTCTTTCTTTTTGCCGCAAGTCTATATAATACTATCAAAATGATGTATAACTTATCAATTTTATAAACAATTTCTTTGATTTAAAGGAAGAAGAAATTAATAACATTATAAATGATTTATTCATTTAAAATAATGATGTTAATATAAAATTGCTATCAATTTTTTCATTGTTGTAAATATTTCATTAATTAAAAAATTGAGAATGCAAAGTGAACGCATTATCTTGGCTAACAATTTCAATTTACCATAGGTTTTAAATAAATAGAAATAGAAAGACGACAAAAAAGCAAAATATGTTTTAAGCTTCTAATTTAAATAAAATAAAATAGCACAATAAATTGTTCAAAATTCAGTCAAAAAATTTAAATAAGAGAAAATTTTTGCCTGTTTTTAATTAAAATATAATTATTTGTAAATCCAACCGCTAATACCGTATGTGAATAAAAACCTTCGTCGCATTGATCACTAAATATTCCTGCAAATTATTCACATCTAATTGATGCCTAAAATTTGTAATTTTAGTTGAAAATGGTATAAATTAATTAAATAATAAAATAATAGATAAACTTCTTAAATTTTATTATTCTTTAATTTGCATTAAATTATTACAAATTTAATCATTTTTCTTTACCTTATTTATTCAACTTTTCGTCTTTTTACAATTTTTGTTCATTCGTCTCTTTCAAATTTTAAATTTAATTAAACAAATTTTCTTACCTTCTTTATAATTTCTGAATTTAGTTGACAATAAAATTCTTGTAACCACCGGTCCTTTTGCCAGAAGTGCTTTAAATAATAAAGGTGTAACACGGCTTACTGTAAAGGTGGCAACAGGTTTTCCAAATCGTGCACTTTTCATTTCACATGACCCATGCTTTTTTCCATATGGATAGCTCTTTTCGCTTACTAATCCATTCTTTTTCATAACATATGCGGAAAACTGAAGAATTATGCTTTTAAATTATATTAAAGAAATAGTATATTTGCATAATTTGAATTAGCCTTTGTTATTATTAGTATTACTATTAATTTTATCATCATTTATTATCATTAATAATAATGTTATCATAAAACGTTTTCATTGCTTATGATCATCACCAAACAATTTGATTTAATGAAAATAAAATGCTATCATTTTATACATATGGAAATAATTTTGCAAAGAAATAATAAAAATTAGCGTTGTGTCACTGTTAAAATTTCATACAGCTTAAATTTAATACTACTCTATTGTTTATTGTTACTATTACTATTACTAATATTTTTATTATCATTATTGTCAATGTTGTTGCTATTATTAAATTACTAATTATTATTCATATGTATTAATCGGTTTTCTGTTTATTTCCTCCAGAAATGAACAGAGATAATTCATTTCATTTCGATAGATTTTATTATATCTATCTGATTATGTGAGTCTAAAAGCTGTATTACATTTCCGAATCTTCCAAACAACGAACATGGACCACTGCAATCGACTAATTCCTGAACCGAAAGCTTGCGCAATTTCTTGGTTTGTGATTTAGCTAATGCTTCAAAAACACCTACAAATGCATCGGCAGCAGCTTCACCACATCCCTTAAAGTAATATTTCATTAATAAACGAATGAGAATTTGAATATTAGCAAAATTATTGTTTTATTTAGAACAAATTTCTACACGATCTGAATTATTTGAAAAAAAATAAAAGAGAAGATAAAGAAAAAAGCGCGCATTTTTTGCTTCTCATAAGATAATATATTCCATAATTTACTTACATATGTCAAATTAAATTCTCCCAAATTTTTTTAGAAAGAATAGTAGAAAAAGATTTTCAAATGCTCATTTGCCATTCTTCTTTTATTGGATAAAGAACACTTTTTTGTAAGCATAATTTTATCATTGCTGATTTCTTTTTTCATTTTTTTTTTTTTTTTTTTTTTTTAAACTACTAAATTCCTATCAGGTATAAAAGATTATTCAACAAAAGACTGACCCGATTGGTTTTGAGATTTCTAACTGCGGTGACATATTTTTTAGTTACCCAATTAACAGCTTTCAATTTTTCATCAGTTAAATTTTGCGGAATATGGCTATCATCCGTATCATTAAATTTGATCACCGGAAATTCGTCCTGCATATCTTCCTCTGCCTGTAATTAATTCATTAATCTACTGCAATTACTTTTCTTAATGTTATTTACCATAATTTATACCACTTGTAATTAAAATTCTTTTTTCATATTTTAAGGAATGGAAATTTTCATCTTACCATATCACTCATTACAGTTAAGCCAAGCATAAACGATGATTTGCCTTGTTTATACAACTCATTATGCTTTTGAATTTCTTCCACATTTTTAGCATAAGCCAACAAGCGATGTGGTTCCGGTCGATTATCCTTAACTCCTTGTTCTACAACGAAAGCGGAAATTGGAAATAAGTTTTGAATTTTTTGGATAAATCTAAAATAATGCGTGGTTTTGCTGGAAATTACGTAAAGCGCTGTTTGGCAGCTGACACGTAGCCATTTCAAATATAATTAATCAAATTATAATAAAAATTAATGCGTGAAATTTGCACGATAATTAATAAATTTAAATATATAATATCATTTAAGCGGTCAGGAAAACTATCTGCAGTCGATTCAACTTATTCAATTCATATTTTAATTAAAGTGATAATGCTTCGGATTAACGATTCTGAAAATTACAAATGAGATGAGTGAAGTAAATTAAACCAGTCGAATAAAAATAAGAAATATTAAGAAAACCGCTAATGAAATTTTTAATTACTTACTGTATTCTGTTACAAATTTCACATAATCATCATAATGTTTCGAATACAATGCACGTAACTTTGAGTGACTTAATGCTTTGAATTGCCTGCAAAATAAATGTCACTAGAAGATTGCAAACTGTGAAATTTATCAAACCAAGTATTAAATGGCTGAAGCTGACCAGAAAAAATTTTTCAATGAAAATTTTAGTGTAGCAAATTGAATACAAAAAGCTATTTTTAATTTTAATATTAACAATTCAGATTTTAATAATTTGTTAAAATAATAATTTAAGAAAAAAAAAAAGAAAAAAAAAAAAAACATACTGATAAATTAGACTGCTACAGCTTAAGATGGAAATTTGTAAAAATGAAAGGAATAGAAAAGCTTTTAGCGGTGATAGAAGATAATGTCTCATTTTGCAATATGCAAAGCCCAAAAAGTCCTTTGAAGTTGCCAACTTCTGTTGATTTTTGGTTGGAAAACAATTCCTGTTGACACTTCTGTCTGTAATTGATAAGGTATTATTTAACCCAAAAATTTCTTATCACTTAATTTGAGATCTGACTGTTTCCTATTTCCTGCAAAACAAAAGTAACTAATTAACAATATTTTTTATACATTTAGAGACCATAAATCATCACAAAAATTTTCTAATCATAAAATTTGCTTCTAACGATGAATAATACAAAAACTGATTTGATCCATTCTTCAATTAACAATTCCATTAGGGAATTTTAATTTGAAAGAAACGAAAAAAGAAGTATAAGCAAAATTATATTTGACAATAAATTATATTTCAAAAATTCCCTTAGCCAAGCTCATGCATGAAAAACCAAATCTGGTTATCCTAAATTTTTGCATCTCTTATTTTTGAATTTCCAAAAATGTTCAACATTTCCCATTTCTGAAATAAGTTAGTTTAAAAATCGCTACATGAATATATAAAATTTTTAAAAAAGAATTTTTTAACAATTGTTGATTACTAAAAATATATTTACATCACTGCAGAAATTCAAAATTGAAATGAATACCCTAATCAGTCAAACAACGAAAAACTACAGTACACCACAAATATTGGTATTATTGTGCAACAGAAATTGTAAACAATTTGGGACAAATTATACAAAAGGAAAAAAAAAGTTATTTATAAGAAAACTGAGCAAAGTTATGCAAAGAATATATCAAAAATATTTTTAACATCAAAGATTAGCAAATGATAATTACTTAAAAATTGCTTTTATCAATAATTTGACATTAATGCTACACCAAACGACAATTTCTGCTGGTCGAACCTTGAAGGAAGAAAAAAATTTTTACCGATTGTTAACTAACTTGATGAAGGCGTTTTTTATTCTACATTTAGCCAGTTTTCTCTTGCTTACTTATGCAAATCCACTTAATGAACTGTAAGTCCTTAATTTTGGAATAGAATAAAATTTAAGAAGTTAAAAAAAATGCTAAAATTGCTAATATAAATGAAATGCAAAGTGAGGTATACGAATTGAATTAAAAAATTTTCATTAATGTTTCTGCCTTCTTCTTGCAATCTTTATAAATTCTTTTTTTCGGTCTTCTGGTTTCATTCTCAGAAAATTTTTAAATTTAATGAATTCGAATATTATTTCAAATATCTCAAATTCTTACTGCAGGGATAATGATGACACACCAGGTAAAATTCATACCTTGTATCAGCAGCATTATTCGAAGTATAAAACATATCTGAAAAAAATGGGTAAGTTAATTGGTTTTTTTTTCATTTCTTTCATTTTCAATTCATTTTTCATTCTAAAAAAAAAACAAAAAAAACAAAAAAAACAAAATAGTATGAAAATGTTAACTTAAAAAGAAACTTCAAATTTTAGCTAACCTGAAAAAAAGCTGAAGCTTCTTTATCAATCAGGATTTCTCATACATTTTATTATCTTCTACAGGCAAAAAACATGATCCATCTGTTCCGGAACCAATTCGATTACTTAAATTTGTACAATCTTTGAAAATGATTGATGAACATAACCAGCGTTACAGTAAAGGATTGGAAACATACAAAGTAGATCTGAACAAAATGAGCGATTGGGTGGGTCATAACTGAAGAAAAAATTGGAAAATTCGGATCAAGCATATAATAATAATAGTAATAATAATAACAATAATAATAGCAATAATAATAACAATAATGATAATAATATTAATATTAATAATAATAAAACCGCTATGCATTACATTTCATTGTTTCTTTTCCTTTCCTTTCATTTTTAATTTCATACCTTTTCCTATTCTAATTTCGATTTATTTCTTGCTTTTTATTTGTTGTTTCTATTCAGACCGAAGAAGAGAAAGAAAGACTTCGGGGATATTATCCAAATTTGACTGAATATGCGGAAGGAGATTTAAGTAGAATAATCCGAGGAAATATAACAACAACAATACCAAAGTCTTTTGATTATAGAAAGAAAATAACTGTACTACCAGCATCAGATCAAGTAAGTGAAGTATTTTTTTCATTTCAACAATTCCAATTGAAATTAATATCTTTTTCTCTCATTTTCCTTATTCCTTTTATTTCTTTGTTTGTTTCTTTTCTTCTTTTTGTTATTTGCATGAAACAATAATTTACATGTTATTATGAATTGAAATCAATTTTAGGGTCGTTGTGGTGTGTGTTTTATTTTCTCAGCATTAGGAGCGCTTGAAATGTATGTGGCGCTCAGGACTAAAAAACGGCCGGTAAAACTATCAGTACAGGATGTAATGGATTGTAGTGGAATGGAAAAATGCAAAGGAAGAGGCGGAAATGAACCTGCGGTATGCGGAAATTTGTTATTTTATTATTAATTAGTTAATTATTATCCATAAAATATAAATATAAGTAAAAAATGATATAATTAATAGCAAAAATGATTTTTAGGTTTTTCGTTGGGTTGCTGAGCACGGTGTAAAGACCGATAAGAGTTACCCATATAAGGAAAATGATAGTGTTTCATGCCCGAGAAATACCCCACAACGACGAAAGTATGGTTTAGCTGATGCATTCTATTTACCTCCTAGCAATGAACAAATTCTCAAGAAGATACTAGCACTATATGGACCAGTTTGTGTATCGTTACATTCGTCATTACAAAGTTTTGTAGCTTATCGAAGTGGTAAGTAATTTACAGGAAAAATTATGAAAAAAAAAAAAAAAAATGGTAAGAAATTTTGAAATTGATAATTTCGAACCAGTTTGATAATTTTAATACTAAAAAATTTTCCGGTATTTATAATGATCCAAAATGTCCAACTAATGCAGAAAAAGTAAATCATGCGGTAATAGCGGTTGGTTATGGTGTCCAGAATGGGATGGAATATTTTATCATCAAAAACAGGTATGAAAAATTTTGAATTTATTTTAATAATGAAAAAATAATAGTAAACTTATGGTGTCTTGATTAATATAAGTTAAAAGCAAAAGGCTAAAAAAAAAAATAAAAATGGATTGACGACAATAAAAGAAGAATTGTTATTGTTATATTTTAATTATTTGTCGTAATATTGCTCAAGACAGATAAATTGAAATAATTTTTTGTTGTATCAAAAGCTATATTTAATTTAATTTAATTTATTTGCTAACTATTATTACTAATTTTATAGTTGGGGCCCTACATGGGGTCAAAAAGGATACGGTCGTATTCGCGCTGGGGTATTTATGTGCGGTATTGGTCGTTTTTCGAACGTACCAATCTTCAAATGAGAGAATAATGTGAAATTTTGCTGTCGATAGTTTTTTTTTTGATAGTATTATTAGAAGTGAAATAATTCATCATTCTTATCTGTTATCTTAAAACATATTTTGCTTTTTTGTCGTCTTTCTATTTCTATTTATTTAAAACCTATGGTAAATTGAAATTGTTAGCCAAGATAATGCGTTCACTTTGCATTCTCAATTTTTTAATTAATGAAATATTTACAACAATGAAAAAATTGATAGCAATTTTATATTAACATCATTATTTTAAATGAATAAATCATTTATAATGTTATTAATTTCTTCTTCCTTTAAATCAAAGAAATTGTTTATAAAATTGATAAGTTATACATCATTTTGATAGTATTATATAGACTTGCGGCAAAAAGAAAGAAAAGGAAAGCTAATTGCGTTATATATGTTGGATAGTTCATTTTTAAAATATACTACAATCTTTTTTTTTTTTTTTTAAATCAATGAAAAAATTAAACTAATGAATAAATTGATAATAATTAATTTTCAGTTGGGGCACCGATTGGGGCGAAAAAGGATATATGCGTATTTCGATAAATCCAAAAGAAAATTGTAATTTATATCTTGAATCACTTGCTGCAATGTGAAAAAAAAGAACAATTCGACTATTCATTTTATTATTATTTGAATTATTATGAAATATCGAAATATCCGAATTTGACTGTAACAAATATAACAAATTAATGCATTCAGTGGTGCGATTACACAATAAAAACATTCATCAGATTAATCATAACTTATTGGAATAAAATGAAAGAAAAATTAAATTAGCAGAGAAAAAATAATTATTGAAGCTAGTTTATAGGAGTTGTTAATGAAATGTCAAAAAAATATTTCTCGATAAATATTAAAAATTCAAATTCTGTAGTGGAGCTAATAAAAAGGTTCTGAATAACACAATTTTACTTCACTTTTTTTTTCACAGTTGGTCACATATCTTTGTCATACGACTTTATATATATGGATGCCTACAAAATAAATTTCTCAAATATTTCGAGTTAAAAAATCTTAACGTGAAGACATCAAACGTAAAAAGAGCTATCGCAGACGTAAAAAAAACGAATTTCCATGCTTTTTTCCTATTTTCGACATTGCACATATTTTCGATACATTTAGAATATTTGAAAGAAATCAAAAATAATCATAATGATTGATGAAAAAAGAATGAAACCATTCACAATTCAGGATTAAAAAAAATTCTAAACTTTATTTATTGGATAGAACTGGAATCTGCAACAACAACAAAAAAAATTGTAACCAATAATTTGCAATTTCAACAAACGCATTATGCTGCACTTTCACATATGCATATATTATTATTAATTCAAACTTTTTCAACAATATCTCTAAACTATTTCCTTTTAAATTTTAATATTTAAACAAATTTTCTCTTCTGCTAAAGCAAACGCTTTCGCCATTCCTTTGTCCTGTTTAAACATGTTCAATCAATAAATGGTTAAACTTTTAGCATATAATTTACACTGGAAAAAATTTTCCCTTTTCTTTTCAAAAATGCATGCGGTAAAGGGCTTTGCTCGTTCGAAAGCTCCTCGGTGACAGTCTTAATCCATAACAATCTGTCCTGAATGATTAAGTTGTGAAATATGGCAAAATTTTGCAGGATTTTTAGCCTATGGTTAAGAGTGATTTTCAGTTGGTTG